CCCAAAAATTTATCGAACCTAATTTTCGGCTAAAAATTGTTTTTGTACCTACATAATGCTCTTGGGTATCACGAAATCAACACCTCTTGGTTGAAATATCATCTAAAATAGCTTGCTCAAGCTCCAAAATCGTGGAAGAAATGTTTGCTGTCTTGGACTAGCTTTCATTATTTTAGTCAGACTGACTACGTCGATTCCTTCTTGTACATTCACAGTTCAAGCATTTTAAGCTAGTTCAGTCTTTTTGAGCTTCATATTTGCAATCATCGCCATGAAAAGGTAAAAAAATGGAACTCCGCTCGGACGTTGCCTATGAGAATCCAAAAACATGAAAACTGGGGCCATCTTTTATAAATAGAACTGAGCCAACTTATAAAAAAACTTATACTGTGTACTTTCAACATGCCACCTAATTACCACTAAGATTTGAGTCATGAATATAAATTCTACTAGACTTGTTGTTTAACCGATAATTCTTTTTATCATGCGTTTGAGTTACATAGCTGCTCGCTTATATCACCTAAAAGCAGTAAGGGGGGGGGGGAATATGAAGTTGATTGCTGGTGTTTTTGAGCCATACGATAGTTTTGTCCTGAGCTTAGAAAATATTTTTCTCAATTTCCACACTTCTTTGAACTCAAAGCTTTACGCATTAGATAAAGTTCTTATCTACATAGATAAGATCTTATTATGTATCCATGTTCGTTCGAAAAAACACAATAAATCTTTACTACTCATCATCTATTTCATTTACTTTTTTACTTTATATACTCTTTTGATACCTATTCGAATGAATTTCAGGCCGGCAACGATGGACTCTTCACTCGATGCGATGCCTGTTTATCAATTGTACTGAATAAAACATTCTCTTTGTTGATGTTCATCTACCGATATGGAATGTAAAGCTGCAGAGGGTTGCCAATTAATATTTATTATTTATGTTTACGAGTATCATGGTCAAATTTTCAGTATTTCAAAAAATCTTCATTCATTTGAGCTGTTACGAGATTCTTGAGTACATGTAATGTCAACTTCTTCATCCATAAATCTGAATGGAAAATTTGGCAAAAACTACACAAACTTCGGGAAATAATTGGGCTGTTCACTGACTTTCTAATTCTCCTAAATGTCTGTAAATATTTTCCATTAAAGACGGACATATGATCTGCTCCTTGGATAAACAGCGGTGTGACAGCACGGGGTGCTCTTTTAGTAATCGTTAAACCATGTTCCACTGGAATGGCTTCATCAGCAGCTCCGTGGCAAACAAGGACGGGAACGTGGACTTTGGGCATTTTATCGTACCTAAAATCTTGCTAGGACTTCAGTAGAATATTAGCTTTACTGGATACTAACGTTACAAATCTATCGAGTTTGCTAGTGTTCACTTCTGCTGGTTTTCGTCCAAACAGTCGAAGTCCACTAGTGAAAGGAGCAACCATGACCAAGCCAACTAGGCCTTCTGGATTCTTGGATGCCAAATCTGCTACAGCTGCTGTACCGATGCTGTAGCCTATTAGAATAATCTGAAAAATAGCAATTTTTTGATAAAAAAA